GGCGTTTGTTCTAGGTTAGTGTACCAGCTTTCCAGAGTCAGTCGTTGAAAATAGTTTGTACTGTAGGTTATACATTCATTTTAAACGGTTAATGCTTCTACACAGAGAGGCGACTCTCTTCCAGACTCTAAGAGCGTTTACTCGGGCTTCATACCGCAATATCAAATCGCACTCTAAGTAAATAATCAAATAAAAAGAGTAAAATCAAATATAAGAATCAGGATATTTTAACACAAGAATTACTCTTAGATATTTACTATTGAAATTGCTTCGTCGAAGTCTCCTCTTTATCCAATTGCATGTTGTTTGCCGTACTATGGAAGCTCTGTTTACGACGATTCTTGATTTTTTAATTTCAACATCTGAGGTGTTCGTCTCAATATCGTAACTTGTTTTCAAGTCAGTAGTCATAGTTTTTTGCCAGTGTTTTCGTAGTTTGAACTTGCATGGATTATTTGTTATGTCGCGAGAACGAGCACGAAATTAGTGGACCCACCCGTTCGGAAAACGATCGACATCTTTGTATGTGAGATGAACGTTTAAGTCGTGATTCTTTCCAAACCTTTCTTCACAAAACACAGCACTCTGTAAATTATGTTGTTCATGAGGAACGAGCAAATTATAACACAAGATGATAGCATTCCCACCCCCAGTTTCCACGGTCTCAACACGGATCGCCTGGGACCATAACCCCACTTTTGGTGACCAAGACTGGCTTGTATTTTCTGACTTGGGCTTTCCTACGGAAGCTTGAGTAACTAGTTATGATCTTTGTAATATGCCGATGACTTGACTGATTCTCCTAAAATTTCGGGCGCGTGCCATATTGAAAGTCGTACCACAAACTACTACTGCGCACTTTTCATACTGATGTTGAGTCTTTTTTTTAAGAGACAAACTATTCGAGATTTAATATTTTAGAATAGGTTAAGGAGGAAGATCTTGTATATTTCGATAGCTGTTTCAATACTTATGCCCCTGATTTAATTCAGATTAACCTGTAAATATTTTGTGCAAACCCTTTTTGTATCATTTACATTGAATTTTTCCACCTTTTACAGTTCCCGGCGAAAGCGATCGTCTGACGAAATGGAATTTACCATGGATATGGTTCACATTTTCCCTGGTTATCCAAAGAGGTCAACAGATAATCCTTCAATCACCTTGTTGGCGTTTTACTTACAACTTCCTCAAGGGTTCTCAGATAATATCGTCAAGAAAGACGTCCTAAAAGCCATCGTGGAAAGCGATGAGCCGAGTATCGGAGGATCGGTGGGCGGTACCATCCTGGGCGTCCAGCCTTTAATCTCTACTACAGAAACAACAGAAGAAAGTGACAAGGAACCGAAACCAATGAATGCCATTGTTGTAGGAGCTTCTGTGGGTGGTGTTATATTGGTCGTTGTTATCTTAATCGCTCTTCTTTTCCGTTTCAAGAGAAGGAAAAGGTAAGAGACCAAACTTGAACAGGTTGAATCCAAACTAAAACTAGCTGGAGTGCAATAACTTTGTATCTCAGCTAGGAGAGGTAAACGTTAATTCACATTATATGGCCCATTATATGAGGCTTTGATTTTGGCGTCACTGTGCATTTCCACTCGCTGGTTTTGCATTGTGACTGTTTCCTGACTGGATGCACAGCGTTGTACGACCTCGGCAGCTTACTAGCTCAGTTTTAGTTACAGTACATCTAAATCGTCAATTTGAATTAGAACATCCAAAATAAATAAGGTGTCATATAATATGCCTGGAGATTTTTTCTTAGCACTGTCAAACACTGTCCGTATACGGAGATGTCAAAATTTCAAGTTTCGTCTAATCAAAAAAGGGATAATTCACCTTAATTTATCGACAAAAGTACGAATTCGCCGTGCGCATATACATGTCATAATGGCATGATCTGCGTTGTCACTCCAACGAGAAATAAAAATGTAAAAACAGTGGGTAGAGTGTCATCATTTCCTTTGATCAGTAACCACAACCTTATGTCACGTNGTTTCAAGAGAAGGAAAAGGTAAGAGACCAAACTTGAACAGGTTGAATCCAAAATAAAACTAGTTGGAGCGCAAGACCTATATTTCTCAGCTAGGGAAGGAAAGCGTTAATTAACATTATATGGCCCATTATATGAGGCTTTGGTTTTGGCGTCACTGTGCATTTCTACTCGCTGGTTTTGCACTGTGACTGTGGTTTCCTGACTGGATGCGCAGCGTTTTACGACCTCGGCAGCTTGCTAGCACAGTTTTATTTACAGAACATCTAAATCGTCAATTTGAATTAGACCATTCTAAATAAATAAGGTGTCATATAATATGCCTGGGGATTTTTGCATTGAAGTACGTCCTTAGGACTGTCAAACACTGTCCGTATGTCAAATTTCAAGTTTTGTCTAATCAAAAAGGGATAAGTCGCCTTAAAGACTGTGCGCATACGCATGTCATATATAATGGCATGATCTATGTTGTCACTCCAATCTGAAATAAAAATGTAAAAACACTGGGTATGGTTTCATCATTTCCTTTGATCAGTAACCACAACCATATGTGACGTTGGTAATGGCCCCAGTTACCGTGAAAATGTTACGTTAAAAGATCATTCAGAAGATTAGCAGACTGCATTGATAATTGTCGTGTTTATTATTATTATTATTATTATTATTATTATTATTATTATTATTATTATTATTTTGATTTTTTTTTTCGTGGACCCTGATCATGAAAGCGGTAACGGCAAAATATTTGCTTGTTTGTACACTAATATTATGGCCCCAGTTACCGTGAGAATGTTGCGTTAACAGATCAGTCAGCAGATTAGCAGACTGCATTGATAATTGTCCTGTGTTTTTGCATTTTATTGTGGATCCTGACCATGAAAGCGATAACGGCAAAATATGTTCTTTTTTGTACGTTAATGTAAGTACTTTTTTTCTAAGATTAATTGCTGCAAAGAGGAAGGCGAGCTGTGGTTTCAACAACAATGCTTACCTCAACGATGCTTACTGCATCGGTCCTGGAGAGCGAGAGATCGAAATGAAGTGTGGTGATCAAGCTTTTTCAGCTGGTAATGTACCTGATTTTGGGGAGCACAGTTACGCGGCCTACAATGACCTGTACCCATCTAGTAATCACTCAGCAGTGATCCTTAAGTTTCCAGACTCTCTAGCAGGAAAGAACAGTGAGGATGTTGCTGCACCTATCTACCAAAAACCCGATAGTGGAGTTGATACACTTATCTACCAACCAATCAACAGCGGAGGTGATGGACCTATCTACCAACCACTCAACAGTAATCGAAAGTCATCTGAAGTCTGAGCTGAGAAGACCAGTGAGGGAAATACAGCACCTGTCTACCAATCACCCAGCAATGGTTATTGTATCCATCTATCAAACACTCAACAATATACCTAAGTTTTCAGAGGCCTAGGTAGAGAACAGTCAGGGAGACGTTGCCAAGTTCACCGGGCAGCTGACCCAATAACGGTGATTCCAAAGATTGAAACTACGCAAAAAAAAAAAGGAGAATCAAAAAAATAAATAAATAAATAAAATAAAATAAATAATAATAATAATAATAGAAATAAAAATAGAAATAGAATTAGAAGTAGAAGTAGAAGTAGAAATAGAAATAGAAATAGAAATAGAAATAGAAATAGAAATAGAAATAGAAATAGAAATAGAAATAGAAATAGAAATAGAAATAGAAATAGAAATAGAAATAGAAATAGAAATAGAAATAGAAATAGAAATAGAAATAGAAATAGAAATAGAAATAGAAATAGAAATAGAAATAGAAATAGAAATAGAAATAGAAATAGAAATAGAAATAGAAATAGAAATAGAAATAGAAATAGAAATAGAAATAGAAATAGAAATAGAAATAGAAATAGAAATAGAAATAGAAATAGAAATAGAAATAGAAATAGAAATAGAAATAGAAATAGAAATAGAAATAGAAATAGAAATAGAAATAGAAATAGAAATAGAAATAGAAATAGAAATAGAAATAGAAATAGAAATAGAAATAGAAATAGAAATAGAAATAGAAATAGAAATAGAAATAGAAATAGAAATAGAAATAGAAATAGAAATAGAAATAGAAATAGAAATAGAAATAGAAATAGAAATAGAAATAGAAATAGAAATAGAAATAGAAATAGAAATAGAAATAGAAATAGAAATAGAAATAGAAATAGAAATAGAAATAGAAATAGAAATAGAAATAGAAATAGAAATAGAAATAGAAATAGAAATAGAAATAGAAATAGAAATAGAAATAGAAATAGAAATAGAAATAGAAATAGAAATAGAAATAGAAATAGAAATAGAAATAGAAATAGAAATAGAAATAGAAATAGAAATAGAAATAGAAATAGAAATAGAAATAGAAATAGAAATAGAAATAGAAATAGAAATAGAAATAGAAATAGAAATAGAAATAGAAATAGAAATAGAAATAGAAATAGAAATAGAAATAGAAATAGAAATAGAAATAGAAATAGAAATAGAAATAGAAATAGAAATAGAAATAGAAATAGAAATAGAAATAGAAATAGAAATAGAAATAGAAATAGAAATAGAAATAGAAATAGAAATAGAAATAGAAATAGAAATAGAAATAGAAATAGAAATAGAAATAGAAATAGAAATAGAAATAGAAATAGAAATAGAAATAGAAATAGAAATAGAAATAGAAATAGAAATAGAAATAGAAATAGAAATAGAAATAGAAATAGAAATAGAAATAGAAATAGAAATAGAAATAGAAATAGAAATAGAAATAGAAATAGAAATAGAAATAGAAATAGAAATAGAAATAGAAATAGAAATAGAAATAGAAATAGAAATAGAAATAGAAATAGAAATAGAAATAGAAATAGAAATAGAAATAGAAATAGAAATAGAAATAGAAATAGAAATAGAAATAGAAATAGAAATAGAAATAGAAATAGAAATAGAAATAGAAATAGAAATAGAAATAGAAATAGAAATAGAAATAGAAATAGAAATAGAAATAGAAATAGAAATAGAAATAGAAATAGAAATAGAAATAGAAATAGAAATAGAAATAGAAATAGAAATAGAAATAGAAATAGAAATAGAAATAGAAATAGAAATAGAAATAGAAATAGAAATAGAAATAGAAATAGAAATAGAAATAGAAATAGAAATAGAAATAGAAATAGAAATAGAAATAGAAATAGAAATAGAAATAGAAATAGAAATAGAAATAGAAATAGAAATAGAAATAGAAATAGAAATAGAAATAGAAATAGAAATAGAAATAGAAATAGAAATAGAAATAGAAATAGAAATAGAAATAGAAATAGAAATAGAAATAGAAATAGAAATAGAAATAGAAATAGAAATAGAAATAGAAATAGAAATAGAAATAGAAATAGAAATAGAAATAGAAATAGAAATAGAAATAGAAATAGAAATAGAAATAGAAATAGAAATAGAAATAGAAATAGAAATAGAAATAGAAATAGAAATAGAAATAGAAATAGAAATAGAAATAGAAATAGAAATAGAAATAGAAATAGAAATAGAAATAGAAATAGAAATAGAAATAGAAATAGAAATAGAAATAGAAATAGAAATAGAAATAGAAATAGAAATAGAAATAGAAATAGAAATAGAAATAGAAATAGAAATAGAAATAGAAATAGAAATAGAAATAGAAATAGAAATAGAAATAGAAATAGAAATAGAAATAGAAATAGAAATAGAAATAGAAATAGAAATAGAAATAGAAATAGAAATAGAAATAGAAATAGAAATAGAAATAGAAATAGAAATAGAAATAGAAATAGAAATAGAAATAGAAATAGAAATAGAAATAGAAATAGAAATAGAAATAGAAATAGAAATAGAAATAGAAATAGAAATAGAAATAGAAATAGAAATAGAAATAGAAATAGAAATAGAAATAGAAATAGAAATAGAAATAGAAATAGAAATAGAAATAGAAATAGAAATAGAAATAGAAATAGAAATAGAAATAGAAATAGAAATAGAAATAGAAATAGAAATAGAAATAGAAATAGAAATAGAAATAGAAATAGAAATAGAAATAGAAATAGAAATAGAAATAGAAATAGAAATAGAAATAGAAATAGAAATAGAAATAGAAATAGAAATAGAAATAGAAATAGAAATAGAAATAGAAATAGAAATAGAAATAGAAATAGAAATAGAAATAGAAATAGAAATAGAAATAGAAATAGAAATAGAAATAGAAATAGAAATAGAAATAGAAATAGAAATAGAAATAGAAATAGAAATAGAAATAGAAATAGAAATAGAAATAGAAATAGAAATAGAAATAGAAATAGAAATAGAAATAGAAATAGAAATAGAAATAGAAATAGAAATAGAAATAGAAATAGAAATAGAAATAGAAATAGAAATAGAAATAGAAATAGAAATAGAAATAGAAATAGAAATAGAAATAGAAATAGAAATAGAAATAGAAATAGAAATAGAAATAGAAATAGAAATAGAAATAGAAATAGAAATAGAAATAGAAATAGAAATAGAAATAGAAATAGAAATAGAAATAGAAATAGAAATAGAAATAGAAATAGAAATAGAAATAGAAATAGAAATAGAAATAGAAATAGAAATAGAAATAGAAATAGAAATAGAAATAGAAATAGAAATAGAAATAGAAATAGAAATAGAAATAGAAATAGAAATAGAAATAGAAATAGAAATAGAAATAGAAATAGAAATAGAAATAGAAATAGAAATAGAAATAGAAATAGAAATAGAAATAGAAATAGAAATAGAAATAGAAATAGAAATAGAAATAGAAATAGAAATAGAAATAGAAATAGAAATAGAAATAGAAATAGAAATAGAAATAGAAATAGAAATAGAAATAGAAATAGAAATAGAAATAGAAATAGAAATAGAAATAGAAATAGAAATAGAAATAGAAATAGAAATAGAAATAGAAATAGAAATAGAAATAGAAATAGAAATAGAAATAGAAATAGAAATAGAAATAGAAATAGAAATAGAAATAGACATAGAAATAGCAAAGTAGTTGATCCTAAAATATCCCAGCCCACACTGACGTGAGTTTCTTTACCTTCACGTTTTAGAAACAAGGAACGATGGGGGTCCGTACAGTATTTCCTTTTTAAATTTTATTATATGTGCGGACTTTGCAACGCGTATAATGAACTAAGTCTGTTTCACAAGGGAAGATTTTTAAAGTGGATGTTGCACTAAATCTCTTTTCATTACAACTCTAATAACATTTTCCCCTTTAGGTAATATTGAATGTTGTTGCACCGTTTAAGTGATTTTTAAGGTAAATAATTAACTTATCGTGGCGCGTAAAATAACTGTCTAAAGTAACATACATGTAACTACATTTTTATTGTTACAGTATACCTTCAGGTTGCCAATTTTCTTCAAATTTGGATTTTTGGGTCAAAGTAGTGGTCGAAGAATAATCTGTAATTTCTGAAAAAAAATTTTTTTTTGAAAAAGAATAACTGATTGGCGGAGAAATGGCGGTTTTACGTTTTCGCCGGAAGTAAAAGTTTACCTCTTGCTTGACAGCCCTATGGCGTGTATGCAGTCAACCGGGGCGATTTTCGCGCGAATTACCTATACGAATGTCACGAATTGACTACTCAGTTGATCAGCATCGTTGTTCTGACTACCGAGCATTTTGGTATAAGGTGTAATTCTATAAAGTTATAAGTAAACTTAGACCACGTTAAAAACATGGACCAGTTCGAAAAAGCGACTACAGCGAAAAACGAATGAAAATACATCAATGAGTGTGGAAGCGAAAGTTCGCCACGCGGATGAAGCTATAGCTATTGTATAAGGCGGGCAAAAAATTCGAAGCAAGAGAAAAGAAATTAGGTTCTGTAAAAATTTGGGAACTTGACAGCAATAACAGGGATGTTGACAGAGTCTCCGATTAATCCAATATCGACGAATCGTTGGACTCATTGAGACCCAAGAAAGGAAGTACAAATATGACGTGCAATCAGTTTGTAATGAAGATTTTTGCTTTTGAGTTTACGAGCCTCTGAATATAACGCTCATTTTCGATGGATTTTGGCCGATTTGGGGCATCGAAATGAAAAAATTGCGGAAAAAAATAATTTTTGATTTATCGAACTTAAAACAATATTTTTGTAACTAGTGCCCGTAGGGCTTCACTCTGGGCGAGTTTGAAGAAATTCGATTTTTTGCTATTTCCAAGTCTAGTTGATATTTAGGCGAAGCTGCTCTAAAAGAGTTATAACTCAAAGGGAATTTGTTCAATTGCCCTCAAATATGGACAGTAGCTACAGCTAGTTTAACATATAAACGACAAAAACGTGTCTGCGAATTGTTAATTAAATCTTTTTTCTTCGAGAGCGATTTTTTTACGATCACTCTACATTTTTGAAATCCTATTTCGGAAATATTCTGTAACTTTTTACTGCAATTGAATATGGCAAAACGCAGACACGTTTTTTAAGCGCTTTGGGCCCTGACACCGAGGAAAAAATGAAATTGGCCAAAAACAAAATTCGCTTTGA